GGGGCCTTAAATGACTTATAGATTGTTGGTTATGTATCCTCTTTCGTGGATAAAAATTAAAATCATTCACTGGCCGAAATAAGTATATATTTCTAAGGCTAGGTTTCAAGACTCGGTCTATTTTGAATTGCTCTGAAAAGATTAAAAGCATTGTATGACAACTAAAAGTATTTTTGATAATATTTGAGAGAAAACATTTTTTGTCTTTTTACACAATAATAAAACTTAATAATTTAAGTATTGGAGTGAACAAAGAAAAGTGTGGGATTTAAATACAAAAACTCAATAAAATGGTTGTTATTTGTATTCGGGTGAAAAATAATTGTTGTCGTTGCAATATATACTCTCTGCATCTAGAAAAACAAAATTATTATATGAGCTTGTTGTAAAACTGACGTTTGATTGCATCGTTCATGTTATGTCTTATCATCGACGGAAGCTAGGACCACTCCAATATGCAAATTTGGCTCAACTGAACCAAGATGATTCTCACTTGTATTTTCAATTGAATTTGAACAACAGACGCAACATTTTTTTTTTTTTTTGGGTACTGAACATTTATATATATATATATATATATATTGGTACTAAAGTTCTAAACATTTTTATATTTGACTGATACGTACACCCAACAATAATCTTTTTGGCCTAACTCCCAAAAATAATTGAAAACGAAACAAATTATGTCATTTTGTTCCAAATAACTCCAATAATCCTTGTCAGCAGCCTCGTCGGCAGTTTGAAAAGTTCATAATCTTAAAAGAATCAGACATAATTAAAGACTTCAGATAAAAATAAGCATAATTAAAGACTTCAGATTAAAACAAAAACAAAAAACACAAGTAGACTCAATCATGCACCTCTTGCGTTATTTTGGTCACAAGTTGTTTGATTTTCTTTTGTAAGCAAAAGATGTTTGAATTGGAACGCTTCACATTCTTTTCTTGGATGGTAAAGAAAACATCACATAATCTTCAACCTAAGTGTTCGGTGAACAAACATAACAAAAACCTACAATATTGTTTATCTTTTTTTTGAACGAAACATTATTGTTTGTCTATAAATTAGAAGTTTGGCCACTGCATTCGGATACACATAGTGGAATTCATAATTAAGCTCCATCCTTTCAAAGATTTCCCCAATTCAGTTTGTGAGTAGTTATACTTTGCTTCACTTCACTATTCTCTTTTCTTGTGTATTTTTTATCCTAATGTAGATCAGATTAATTTAGTCTAGTTTAAATTCTTACTTGTATAAAAAAAATAAAAAACGAAATGACAAACGGGGAATCTTGATGATCGTCGCTCCACTGGTGGTTCTTGTATTTACTTGGGTACTAACTCAATCTCATGGAGTTCTAAGAAGCAATGTGGCATTTCTCGCTCGAGTACTGAGGCCGAATATCGCCAACTTGCCTTACACTGCCGCCACTCTCTCATGGTTACGTGCTTTATTTCTTGATCTTCATCTTCCAGTTCCTTGTCCCAAGCTTTGGTGTGATAATATTAGTGCTCCCTCTGTGGCTTCTAATCCGGTATTTCACTCTCACACTCGTCACGTGGAGGTGAATTATCACTTTATTCGTGAAAAGGTGGTGCGTAATGAGTTACTTGTTACTTATTGTTATACAAATTGCGGTAAAAATTTGGTGCTAGCAGCCTCACGCAGCTGCCCCCAGGGGTATATATATGGCCACGGTAAATGGCACAACACAACCAAGGTGAGTGCAGGCAGCGTTGATTCCATATGTGGCAGGAGTTCTATCTTTCTCTATAACAGGGTTCTATCTTTCATATATATACCTATATATTTTTTTTTGGGGTATAAATATACCTGCGAAGTGGTAGCAGAAGATAAGAGTAGAGGAAGCCATGGTATGAGATTTTCTTGGAGATGATACTGTTAGCTTCTTTCTCTGTTTTTGGTGTGGTTGAAATTCGGTTTTGTAACGACTACAGCAACTAGTAGGGTGCCACATTACCACATATTCAACAGATTTTCATTTTTCTTTTCCTCTTCTATACTAGAAACTTCGAAAGAAAAAAAAAGAAAAGCTTACTTAAATAACAATAATGGGCTTTTCATGTGCTGACATACTCAACATTATCTTGGGCAACTAATGATATTGTCAACAGAGCTTGTTATTTGTAAAAATGGCACGGTGTGGTGATTTGGTTTTGGACATTGGTCTAACATTTTGTTGGTGTGAGAATCAGGATGTTGAATTTGTTTTTTGTTTTTTTTTTTGTGATGCTTTTCGTGCGAAACATGTTTGGTGGTGGGAGGTCCAATATTATCTTGGTCACTACACTATTACAGTGCACCATGAATTATATATAGCTAGAGAGGGGAAAAGTAAAAGGCAATGGGTTCCCACCTCAGTGGTTGAGGCGTTCCTCCTCCCCCCGTGCCCCGCCCCATGGCACCAAGCCTCCATTGCTGCACCTTGAGAAACCACCTAATATTCTCCCCTTCACCTCCCTAGCTAGTGACAAAAAAAAGAAAAGGGAAAAGTAAAAGGGACTGTATATATATTGGCGTTCCAAAGAGTCTATAAGAAACTAATGGTTCTTTGGATTTCCTTTGCTTTCTCTTGCAGCAATGATGAGAATTAAAGAGATCCTATTGTTTTAGTGAAACATGAAGACACCCAACAAAGAAAAGTAAAAGAAAGTAGGAATAAAGTAAAAGAAAGTAGCAATGATGAGAATTAAAGAGATCCTACTGTTTTTCCTTTGATTATTGTGGCTTCTAATAGGCTGTTTTTCTTGTTATTATGTTTGTCCGTTGTTTCTGGCCTATGTGGTTTGAAGTGTATTCTTAGATTTGGTTTAAAGTGGGCGTTCGGGATTTTGTGTTGTTCAGTTCTACTAATTGCCCCTGTTGTTAATGAATTCTCTTTATTGTCTAAAAAATAAGTAGGGGTTCGAGATGGAGCAAGCTTGAAGCAACCCCAAAAAAAAATGAAGGTTCTTCAAAGCAAATTAGGCATTTCGTTCTAAGAGATTTATAACACACACACAATTACAGGTATCTGCCTTCTTCTAGTTTCCCAAACTTTTTTGTCGCCAAACACCTCCTCCTAACAGCACGGTAGGACTCCACTGGCAAGCATTGAAGATGCTCTAAAGTCGACGAAATTTCCTGCACTGGAACTCTCGAACTCTCTTTACCACGTTACTTTTTTGGTCAATGTGTATAATTACTACGTTCACATGCCCAACAGAGGTGCATCTTTTTTGGTCTTTGCTGATTTGTTGTCTAGAATCAGACATAATTAAAGACTTCAGATAAAAAATAAGCATAATTAAAGACTTCAAATTAAAACAAAAACAAAAAACACAAGTAGACTCATAATTTGGTTAATCATGCACCTCTTGCGTAATTTTAGTCACAAGCTGTCTGATTTTCTTTTGTAAGCAAAAGATGTTTGAATTGGAACGCTTCACATTCTTTTCTTGGATGGTAAAGAAAACATCACATAATCTTCAACCTAAGTGTTCGGTGAACAAACATAACGAAAACATACAATATTGTTTATCTTTTTTTTGAACGAAACATTATTGTTTGTCTATAAATTAGAAGTTTGGCCACTGCATTCGGATGCACATAGTGGAATTCATAATTAAGCTCCATCCTTTTGAAGATTTCCCCAATTCAGTTTGTGAGTAGTTATACTTTGCTTCACTTCACCATTCTCTTTTCTTGTGTATTTTTGATACTAATGTAGATTAGATTAATTTAGTCTAGTTTAGATTCTTACTTGTATAAAAAGTCAAAAAGGAAATGACAAATTGTCCAGACCAAATTGCGGGCCGGGCCTACCTTTCCCAATCTGCCGACAGAAAATTACTCCATTAATTATTTACGACTCGAATTAGTTGGAGTCCGTCCGTTATTTTGTACATGCTTTCACATGACCAACTGTACCAATAAGAGTGGCATCTTCTTGGTCTTTTGCCAAGTCTTTTTTTATTAATTCCTGAGTTATTACAAATGAAAAGAAGAAAAAAAAAACATATTGTGATCTATAAATCAGAAGTTTGCTGCTTCTTGAAGATTGCCCAATCCAATCAGCTGTGAGTAATATTATACTTTTTTCATTTTTCTTTGTTCAATTTCATCTTGTTTAGTTTTCTCATATGCTGGGCATAAAGTCACATTGGAATAAGTTGACAGGTTGATTGAGGATGGCGGCTAAAGTAGTCCCAAGTGCAATTGTTCTCCAAGTTCTTAACCAAGGTAACTATGAAGAGTGGAGTTTTCGGGTTAAAACCTACTTGTTGGCTGAAGATCTGTGGGACGTTGTCAAGGGCACCACTACAAAGCCTCCCAAGGATGGTGAAGCTGATAAAATTAAGGATTGGAAGAAGAGAAATGCCAAGGCTTTGCATGCGATCCAGATTTCTTGTGGGGTTGAAACTTTTTCTTTGATCAGAGGCATCAGCAGGGCCCACGTTGCCTGGGATACTTTGGCAGAAAAGTTTAAGCCAGCTGAAGTGGAGCGTGAGGTGGAGGAGCCAGATGAAGACTTGGAAGGGGAAGCGATTGATGATGGTATTATGCCTCTATCCGCGCAAAACATTTCTGTGTTATTTCGTTAAACAATTTGACATGTTATATATTAATTAGATTGTTTCATATGTAATATGTATTATAGAAAGACAGTATGGCAGTATCCAGTAATCTTTTTTACATTAGTGGTCTTAATTTTTTTGAATCTTAAATAGTAACAATCTTAACCTTTCTCACTTGCCTTGCCAGGATGTGAGAATAATGCCAGCAACGACTTCGACTGTTATGAAAGTTTCTTCATTGATTTGCTGTTAGGTCGTTGGAATTCTGCAGAGGAGTTTCTTAAAACAAAACCCGAAGCAGTAAGATCAAGAATAACTCCAGAAGGAGAGACAGCTCTTCACGTAGCAGTGAGATCTGTGGAACTGCAGTTTGTGAAAGACTTGGTGAAGCTGATGACGGAGAAAGATTTGGAAATAAAAGACGCTTATGGTTTCACAGCTTTTGCCTGTACGGTAATTCAAGGAGACATCGAAATGGCTAAATGCATGGTTGAAAAAAACAAAAAATTACTCAGCATCAGATCCCCTCCCAACAATGCAATTCCACTGATCAATGCTTATCGTCGGGGCCAATGGGAAATGGCTAACTATCTCTATTCTCTCACTCCACTTGAAGATCTCAAGGATCGAGATGGGGCTGCACTTATTTCCCAGTGTTTTTTGAGCAAACACTTTGGTGAGAGTTTCAGATACATAGGTTAATTAATGTTAAGGACATTAATTTGCTAGCATTTGACTTGATTATTCTGAAAATGAATTTAAAAGTCATTAATTCAAAATTAAAATAAAACAGAAAATGAATTTATCATCCTTTTCAGAACAAATTTGGTTTAGACTAAAACAAATAGATTGATCCTTGGCTGGAATTCACGCATATATATAAGAGAAAACTACATTTACATATATTGTATTATTTTCTTAATTAATCTTTTCGTTTATAATAACTAATTCGTTTACTTTCAAATTCCTATATATATATAGAAATTGGGTGGGACTTAATTCAACGTCGTCCAAACTTGGCAACTACCATAGACTACTCCGGACAATCCCCTTTAAATGCACTGGTCTGTATGCGGTCTGCATTTCCAAGTGGAAGTCGTCTCAACTTATGGCGACGATGGATTTATGACTGTTAGTACTACATTCTCCTCTTTATTATTCAATATCATAACTTGAGATATTTTCCAATATTCTCCTTTATATGGCTTAATTTGATTTTTGGCGAAGCTCCTGCACTATATGGGGATGGGTCTAATTTCATACACGGAGCTAGCCTTTGAGAGATGACTGAACTTGGTAGAATGGGTTTCTGGAGGTTTCCTCCAGCTTTTTTTTTTCTGGAGTCAATTCCTCGCACCTTCTTTTCTGGTACTGGTGAAATGGCGTTCTGTCATTTCTTACGGTGGGGATGACTTTCTCCTTCTTGTGTTTTTATGAGAGAGAAAAAAAAACGGATGTCTTTTGGTTTTCTGTGTGGTGTTATCCAATTTGCTTAGTTAGAGCATCCACTCAGGACTAAATTTAGCTTAACTGGAGATGGTCTTAGGCCATCTACAGCCATGAGTTATATCCCAAATATAGTACTAAATTAATGCAAAACTCATCTTCAGTCATGGGTTAAATAAAATTTTGGCCAAATTTGGAGGGTCACATTTGGCCTTTTAGCATCTTGAAAATAGCCATATAACTCATGACTAAATTTAGCCCACATGTCAGGCAGTCATTCGCTAAAGTAGTATGTGACAGCTACAGTCGCCCAAAAGCGACTGTTTGTTAGCAATCCCCATATATTTATTGAGAATTTTTTTGTAAGAAATCCTCTTATTCAGATTCTCCAGAGAAATAATTTAATGTATTTCTTGGATTGTGTTGTTTTCTTAATAGGTGTACAAATACCTCCTATGGACATGAACAATATTCGTATAAATATGCAACCTACAGAACATGATGGAAATAATCAAAGGAATCTGATCCGCTCAGGTACATATATATATATATATATATATATTGTTAGTTTTAAGATTTACTGAGAGGAAACAGAGTGGGAGAATTGAATACTTCATTAAGTGAAAGATGGCTGTTAAATAGCCTTACAAAAACAGAAAAGAAACTCCATGACCTGCTGCACGATCACATGACCAACAGCTCCTAAATTTAAGAGATCTTCCTAAAGAAACGTTCAAACCTCAGCTACTTCCCTAAAACATAGGGTTATTCGTTCCAACTAAACAGAAATACTTTAATAAATATTAAATAACTTCACATATATAGGTTGCAAGTTCCAACTCTTAAGTGTCGCTTGATTTGACCTCCTGAAACCTTTTTATATTATTTTTTTTTTAACGTCATACAACATCTTTTACTTAAGGCTTGTTTGGTAATCTGTAGGTTTTTGGTTTTTAGTTTTTGAACTTTTTTTGAAGATGGAGGAAAAATATATATAGAAGAAAAGGAGGGCTCTTGGAAATTGTTTGTTATTGTTACTAGCCTCGTACGTGTCTCTGCACCTGTGAGAGGCTTTTTTTAAAAAAATTTAAATTTATTTTAGAATTAAAAAAGATAATGGGTAGTTGTGTTTCATAAAATAGGATCCATTATATGGTATTTGTTTTTATTTTAATTTTTTTAATATGAAAAAGTGTGATTTTACCATATTATCCTCATTTAATTAATAATTTCAATTCTTAATGTTTGCATTAATCAAGTTATATTTTGGTATTTTAAATGTTTCACCATTCTCTGCTTTTTGCTTTATATATATATAGATGGTTTTCTTATACAATTTATGTAAATAAATTTTGTTTATGACAAGGAAAAAGAAACCACTTTTTATTATCATTTACTGAGAATGTGCGGGGTATCCTGTTTTATATATGTTCTTTTGCAACATATTTTGGATTTGCAATGCAGATATGGGTTTAATGCGACGACTAGTTACAAATCTCTTTGAAATTTTAGGTAAGCTACAGCCTACATCCACATTGTTGACTTCTTTTCCTTTCTCTTTTTTGTCTCAGTGATCATCAGTTATTTTAAAACCTTGTTAATTTTGCCTTCTCAATGTCATCCCAGGAATCAATCGCGTATATGAAATGAAAGTGACTCATACACGAATCTTTGAATTTCTACGTCACATGTCCAAAGCGACAAGCAATCTTACTGATGTAGGTTGCGTGCATACAGCGATCTTCCAAGCCGTAGAACGAGGGCATGTGGAGTTTATTTCTCATTTATGTAGAGAAAATCCAAACCTCTGGGGGATCACTGATACAAAAGGCAGGACCATTTTTCACTTTGCAATTGAACGTCGTCGAGAAAAGGTTTATAACCTTATATATGAGCTCAGTGAAAAGAGAAGAAAGTTTGTAGTAGGTGCTCTTGATAAGCTTGGAAACACACTGCTAGATTTAGCAGTTAGTTTCTCCCCTTCTACACTAATGGTTCAAGGTGCAGCTTTACAAATGAAAAGAGAAATACAATGGTTCAAGGTTAGAAATTCTGACTCGTTATGTTTTGCAAGTTACTGTCCCTACATGCTAAGTTGAAATTCATATCAAACCAATATGAGAAGTTGCATATATAAAACTGCCATGGTCAAATTAACTATCCAGTATATATGTGTTTCAAACTCGATTGGGATAAGTTACTAAATCGACCAAAAGACGCCTCCCAGAACCAATAATACAAGCACCTAGACACACGCCAAAAGTGAAGAAGAGGTAGCAACCGTGGCCTTGTTGAATTATAAGTGCTCAAGCTGATTTCATAGATAGTTGTTTTCTATTTTCTTGTAATTTTTGGTTCTTAATCCAAGTGGCATAGGTTGATTGGTTAGTTTAATGGAAGGCTGAGATTGCATTGTGATGTAATGCATCCAGCTGGCACCGTATAACGGTACTCTCACACCAAGAGTGTGAGATATACTGTACAAATTCTTGCAGTCTAAAGAAGGAGAATGTTCTCCGCTACATGTATAGCAGAGTAATCTTGCAATCCTCTTCTTCGTCATTCTTCTATCTTTCATTCTTACCAAAACCCATATACATAGTCAAATACACTAACATGGCCTCAGAGCCAGGTTCGATTAGCTAAAGGGGCGTTCATTCTGTGAAGAAAATCGGTCGAGGAGAAGTTCATTTTCAAGCTTACGAAGCTGAGTGAGTTCGATCAAATTTTTAGGTCTAAAAACAACTTGTTTTCGGTGCATTAGAAATCAAAATGGTTGGATCTGGAAGCTCAGAGGAGAGACTTCTGGAGAGAACTATGAGTTTTGGCGGATTAAGATGATTACCATATTCCGATCTTATGGTCTTTGGAATCTGGTAGAGAAAGGACTTCCTTCATCAGATTCAAAGAAGAAGAAGATAACTGAGGAAATCTCAGAAGAAGAGGTTGATGAGAAATCAGCTGTCATTCTCATGAAGGATGCAAAAGCTCTTGGAATTATCCAAAATGCAGTTTCTGATCAGATCTTTCCCAGGATTGCAAATGCTGACTCTGCAAAGATGGCTTGGGATCTGCTGTACTCAAAATATCATGGGGGAGAGCATGTTAGATCGGTAAAACTTCAAAATCTCATACGTGAATTTGAGTACACTAGGATGCGTGATAATGAAACCTTATCTGATTATCTTACTAGACTAAATGAATTGATCAACCAAATGAAAACGTTTGGTGAAGTGCTTTCAAAGGAGAGGCAGGTGCAAAAGGTCTTAATTAGTCTAAGTAAGAAATATGATCCTATATATCTTGTGATTGAAAACACAAAGGATTTGGAAACTGTGGAGTTGCAAGAAGTAATTGCTATATTGAAGAGTCAAGAACAGCGGTTTGAAATGCATAATGTTGATACACATGAAAAAGCATTTGCCTCATTCACTGTGAGTTCCAAAGGTCAGAATAAAAATGGATCTCAGTCTGGTTCATTCAAGTCACAGGGAAATTGGAACTCTAAAGGAAAGCCATGGGAGTCAAAAGGCAAGTCGCAGCAGAGCAGCTATCCTGCACAGAATGTCAATTCCACAAACCAGGAGAATGCTAAACCTCAATGCAAGGTGTGTTCCAAGCATCATTTTGGTGAGTGCAGATATAAGGGAAACCAAAATGCTATAACTGTGATAGATTTAGACATTTTGCTAGGGACTGTACTGTGAATAAGAATGTGCAGAAGGCAAATTATGTAAACCAAATGGATGTGACAGGGAATCTATTTTATGCCAATTGCACAACCATTGAGATCAAAGCCAATAGAGAATGGTATGTTGATAGTGGCTGTAGCAATCATATGACAGGAGATTTAAAATTGCTGGTTGATGTGAGAACTAATGTGACTGGGAAGGTACAAATGCCGACTGGTGCACTTGTAAATGTAGCTGGCATTGGTTCACTGATGATTGACACAAAAAAGGGCAAGAAATACATCAGAGAAGTAATGTATCTGCCATGGTTGAAGGAAAACCTACTCAGTGTTGGGCAGATAGATCAACATGGATAATGTCTGGTGTTTGGAGAAGGAATGTGTAGGGTGTTTGATAGTCCATCTATGGATTATCTAATCATCAAAGTACCAATGAAAAGTAACATATGCTATCCGGTATCCTTTCTTGCTGACAACCAGCTGCTCATGAAAACCAGTTTCACTCAATGCACATGGATGTAGGATAAGAGACTAGGTCACTTGCACTTTAAAGGTCTAAAACAGTTAAGAAAGAAAGGCATGGTGCATGGCTTACCACAATTGGAAGCACAAAGTGGTGTGTGTGAAGGGTGCCAACTGGGAAAACAACACAGGATTGTGTTTCCAAAGGAACAAGCTCAAAGAGCAAGCAAGGCACTTGAATTAGTGCATATAGATCTATGTGGCCCTATGAGAAATGAATCTGTTGCAAAGAACAGATATTTCATGTTGATTATTGATGACTTCACAAGGATGATTTGGGTATACTTCTTAAGAAACAAGTCAGAAGCTTTCAGTTGTTTCATGAAGTTCAAATCAATGACTGAACTACAAACTGGACACAAAGTGAAATGCATCAGAAGTGACAGAGGTGGAGAGTTTCTGTCTGCAGAATTTGTGGAGTTTTGTGAAGCTCAAGGCATCCAAAGGCAACTCACAATGGCCTATACTCCTCAGCAAAATGAAGTGGTAGAGAGGAAGAATAGGACTGTTATTGAAATGGCCAAATCAATGTTGCATGAGAAGGGAATACCTTATTTCCTATGGACTGAAGCAGTGCATACAGCTGTTTACTTGCTGAACAGGTGTCCTACCAAAGCCCTCAGCAATATCACTCCATTTGAAGCATATAGTGGAAGGAAACCTGGAATTGTACATCTTAAAATATTCGGTTCTTTGTGTTATGTTCATGTGCCGGATGAATTGAGACACAAACTGGAACCCAAGAGTACAAAAGGGGTGTTTGTAGGATATGTAATTTGTGAAAAAGGTTATAGGGTCTTTGATCCAATTTCTAACAAGCTGATATTGTCAAGGGATGTGACATTTGATGAAGAAGGTGTGTGGAATTGGACAGATAACAATGGTGCAGACATGCCATCATACTCAGTTGGAAATCAAGTAGATTTTGATGCCAATTTTGGAAATTCAAAGGACAATGATGCGGCTACACCTCAAACTCAGAATCTGCAAGAAGGAAATTTGTCAACTTCACATCATACTCCAAGTGATATAAGTAGTGAAGAAAGAAGAACTCAAGCCTATGATCATTCTCCATTAAAGTGGAGGAGACTAGATGATGTGCTGGCACAATGTAACTTGTGCATCATGGAACCAGAAAACTATGCAGATGCTGCACAAGATGAATCTTGGCTTAAGGCTATGCAAGATGAACTGCAGATGATTGAAAAGAATGGAACATGGGAATTGGTGGACAGACCATCTGAAAAACCAGTAATTGGAGTTAAATGGGTTTATAAGATAAAGCTAAATTTGGATGGTTCAGTTCAAAAGAATAAGCAAGGTTAGTTGCCAAAGGATATGCTCAGAAGCCTGGGCTGGATTACAATGAAACGTATGCACCTGTAGCCAGATTGGATACTATCAGAACACTTATTGCTCTTACTGCTCAAAAGAACTGAAAATTGTATCAACTTGATGTGAAGTATGCTTTTCTTAATGAAGTGTTACAAGAAGAAGTCTACATTGATCAACCGGATGGTTTTGTGATTCAAGGTCAAGAAGACAAGGTGTATAAGCTGCATAAGGCTCTATACGACTTGAAACAAGCACCTAGGGCCTGGTATTGAGAGATAGATAACTATTTCTCTCAATGTGGTTTCGAGAAAAGCTTAAGTGAAGCAACCTTGTACACCAAGGTAAGAGGAGATAAGGAGATCCTAATTGTGTCTATCTATGTAGACGATATTGTGTATACAGGGAGCAGTCAAGCACTGTTGGCTGAATTCAAAGAAAATGTGATGGCTAAGTATGAGATGATTGACTTGGGCCTACTTCATCATTTTCTTGGCATGCGAGTTATTCAAACTGAGTCTAGTATATTTCTACATCAAAAGAAGTATGCTAGCACTTTGTTGAACAAATTTGGCTTGATTGAATGCAAATCTGTAACCACACCCCTTGTTGCCACTGAGAAACTAGCTAAGGATGATGGAAGTAGAGCTGCAAATGAAGAACACTATAGAAGCATTGTTGGTAGTCTGTTGTACTTAACTGCTACAAGACCCAACGTCATGTATGCTTCAAGTCTGCTAGCCAGATTCATACACTGTCCTACAAACAGGCATTATGGAACAGCTAAACGTGTCTTGAGATATGTCAAGGGAACTCTAGACTACGGCTTAGAGTATGTGAAAGGCAGGAAATCAGTTCTGATCGGCTACTGTGACAGTGATTGGGGCGGATCAGTTGGTGATAGCAAAAGCACATCAGGGTATGCTTTTACTTTTGGGAGTGGAGTGTTTTCTTGGGCCTCAGTGAAACAGAACTGTGTTGCACTGTCCACTGCAGAAGTTGAGTACATCAGTGCAGCAGAGGCTACTACACAGGCCATTTGACTACGATTTGTGCTAGAGGATTTTGGGGAGCTTCAAACTGAAGCTACTCCATTGCATTGTGATAACATCTCAGCAATAGCAATCACTAAAAATCCTGTATTCCACCAGAAGACAAAACATATTGACAGGAGATACCATTTCATCAAGGATGTTTTGCAAGAAGGAGTTAATATTGTCCCACGAATGAGCAACTGGCTGACATCTTCACCAAACCCTTGGCCAAAGATCGATTCAATTATCTCAGAGGCATGCTTGGAGTGAAATCAGCTCAAGACTTAAAGGGGAGTGTTGAATTATAAGTGCTCAAGCTGATTTCAGAGATAGTTGTTTTCTATTTTCTTGTAATTTTTGGTTCTTAATCCAAGTGGCAAGGTTGATTGGTTAGTTTAATGGAAGGTTGAGATTGCATTGTGATGTAATGCATCCAGCTGGCACCGTATAACAGTAATACTCTCACACCAAGAGTGTGAGATATACTGTACAAATTCTTGCAGTCTAAAGAAGGAGAATGTTCTCTGCTACATGTATAGCAGAGTAATCTTGCAATCCTCTTCTTCATCATTCTTCTATCTTTCATTCTTACCAAAACGCATATACAGAGTCAAATACACTAACAGGCCTTAGTCCTTTTTTCTAGTAGTCACAGAAAAGAAAAAGAAAAAGAAAAAGAAAAAGAAAAAGAAAAGTTGTAATACAACAGAATCTGCAAAATTATACTTCAAACACCAGAAAATGAATCGTTAGATTATTTCTAGAGGAAGGACAAAAGACTCAAAACAAGCAAAAAATAATTTGTAATAACAAAGAGTTCATGGCGATATTTCAATTGTTTTCTTGTTCAATGAAATGCAGGAGGTGGAGAGTATAGTACCTCCCAAAGTTCTTGAAGCAGTGACTTCTAAGTGTGGATTAACAACACAAGAGCTATTTACCAAAAACCACAAGGAATTGATGGCGGAGGGAGAAAATTCAATGAAAGGGGCAGCAACTTCTTGTACAGTTGTAGGTGCTCTCATCGTTACCATCATGTTTGCTGCAGCCTTTACAGTTCCTGGTGGAAATAATCAAAACACAGGTTTTCCCATATTCTTAAATGAAAGGGTATTCATAATTTTTATAGTTTCAGATGCTATCTCCCTATTTTCTTCCACAACTTCAGTAATGATATTCTTAGGAATCCTCACATCACGTTATGCCCAGGAAGATTTCCTCAAATCCCTACCCACAAAAATGATGTTAGGCCTTCTCGCCCTTTTTTCGTCTATCGTCGCCATGATGATTACCTTTTCTTGTGCTCTCATCATTTTGCTTCATGGAAAATTTAGGATTATTCTTCCACTTATTTTGCTTGCTAGTTTTCCAATTACCTCATTCATATGGATGCAATTCCCCTTCCTTGCTGAGAGTTTCAATTCTACTTATCGAGGGGAATTATTTGACAAGAAAATCAAACGTTGGTAACTTCATGTTCAATTCCATTTGTAATCTGATGCTTGGATTGCTTTGCTACATTTTAAGAAACTTGTAAGAAAAGAACAATATATGTACTTGAATTTTACAATAAAATCCAACTTCAATTTATTTTTGAGTTAGTTATCAACATTGGTTTTTTGACTTGGACATTCTACCGGAATATTACAGGTAAATCCTTTCATTTTTCACTTTTGCAAAAAAAGAAAATTTGCAATCATTTTTGCAATATAGTAAGATGTATCAATACCTTCATCCTTGTGTGAGAGTCCTGCCACCAGGGCCATGAGTCTTAAGCCATTCAGATGCAAGTCATTTCCAAGAGCATCCTTGGCAACTTAACCACCGAAGCCACCGCCGGAGTTATAATTGTTCTCCAATCAGTCAAAATAACCAGGTAAAGCTAAGGAATAAGGATGCATGCACAATTTCTGATAGTATAGATTATAGATAAGGATGTAATCACATCATTTCCAATAACCATGTTGGATTGTTTAGCAACACTCACATAAATTTGAAAATAGTAAATTTGGCTTACACCCTTCAAATTCAATTTGTCATACCTTAAACCCTTCACTTTTTGTTCCTATAAATAATACCCAATTTGTATAAGTAAAAACTCATGACTAGAATCCAACTCAGCAAGTTACCTAATTAAGCATAAAATCTGATTTATTGTATTTTTCAGATTCCAAAAATACTCCCAACTAAGCAATTATTGCATTTTGTATATTAATGTATGAATCAATATGGAAACAGTTTTTAATTGGATTGTATATAATGATATATGTTGAATTTGGAAAGATCTCCAAATGGTTGTAATGGATGTAGGAATTAATTTTGAAACATTTTTTAAAAAATTTAACCATAAATTCAAATTTAGGTAATCGGTTTGTTTAATAAAATGTTTATGTTATTTTCTTTTTATGAATTATACATGACTAATAATCCACTTTACAATTGTTTATGAATAAAACTGTACATACTAATTATGTTGAAAAAATAATGTACCTATTACTTGTTTGTTTTATGAAAAATATAATTTACCTAGTATGAAAAGTGTACATAATTATCTATTCCAAATAATGTACCTATACACATTTACAGGTATATTGTAAAATAATTTACCTGTGGGTAAATAATGTACCTATATTTTATATAAATTATTGTATACCTATTTATAATTATGAAAAATATACGCAATTACAAAGTAACTGACTTTGTTTTTTTGTTTTTTTTGGTAATGTACCTATATTTTATATGTATATATTTATATTATATTTTTCATAGGTACATTATTGGATATGTAATTTACAGATTTTTTTTGTTTTGTTTTTATTTGCAATTTCAGGGGGCGAGATGTGAGAGGGAATGACAACTAAAAGAAATGGGTGATTGATATGCTATTAATAGGAGTATATTAATTACAATTATGGCAGTTAATGAAATGCTTGAAATAAATTATAAATAAAATATGAAGTTTAGTGGCAATGATGTAAAAACATAGAAATACTAAGACCTCTTATATCCTACTGGTCATTTAAATTTGAAATTGGGTTTTACTCATAGATTTATAGAGTGATGGGTATATGTCTAGGAAATAGAAAATGTAGGGATCTATATTGGACAAGCTCGTTTTTTTTTTCTTAAGTAACCCAAACAAATTTCTTTAGACTTCTGTGATTATGGGATCATTGCAATAATACACAAAACCGAAGAAAAACAAACTCTAATAGATCAAAAGACATATATCGACTCTGACATGATTATTGTTCCCAAAGTATCCAAATTTGTTCTACTTCAGATCTTCATAAGAGTGTCAATTTTATTGTGTCGTGTTTTTATCTTAATAGGTATGCATGTACCACCTACTCCTACTATCGATACTGAAAAAGAACCTACTATCGATGCCTTTAACGATGGTCGTACTAATGCTCAAAAACTAGAAGGCGATCAAGCTAATCAAAGGCATCTCATTTGCCTCATTTGCCCACGTACGTTGTCAGGAGTGCCATTTGGTTATTGTTAACAACATCAAAATTTTAACACCTAGAAAGCACCGTGTTTCAACTTGCCGTTGAGCACCGTCAAGAAAAAACTTTTAGCCTCATATATAAGTTTGATAAACATGACCAACAAGAAATACTAGGTAAAAAAGATAATTGTGAAAATAATAATGTGCTGCATTTGGTGGGAAATTTTTCTCAGCACACAGAGATTAATCATATTCGAGGTGCGGCTTTACAGATGCAGAGAGAACTACAATGGTTCAAGGTTAGAAATTTTCCGCATATGTATATACGTACCTACATATTACCCTATGTGCTAACCTAATGATAAAAACTCACATTTTCTGCTTTAAGGTTATTTTTGGCGATAAGGTTTCTAAGACTCTTTATTACTTTAGTGGGTATGCAAGTTTTGGTTTCTTCTTTTAGATGTGCTTGTAGTATTATAATTTTGGTATTCTATTACTCTTTTACTTGACTATAATTAGGAAGGTAGCAAGTTTAGGTTATGACTATAGGGATAGAATACCTAAGGGCACCTAAGGGTAGAACATAGTAAAACAAAAAACAAGAACCAAAAACAAAATTACACGCCCACATCATTAGTTTCTTCACTCAATAAAAAAATTCATATTGTGTGAGACCGCATCTCGAGTGGCTAGTAACAATAAATTTATATAGGAGTCCTCAAACAATAATTAGTTAAATCCGTTAGTACAATGCTAATCACTCTTTTAGACCCCTACACAATACTATCTCATAATCCAAATCGTCTATTTTTTAGTTCCCATTCAAAGATTATACTTGCAAAAAGTTGTTCAAATAGGAAAGCGTTTAGTCCTTTTAATGTAATCAAAATCATTTTAATGTTTTTATACAAAACATTGTGTTCATATATTAGTTGAGTACTATTAAATGATTAATCGAATTATTATTTGACTTATTTTATGTAATATTGATACATGGAAAGGAACGGAAAAAATTAACGATCACATTGTATGATGGGTCCAAGAAGTGCTTAGTGCCTTATAACCTTTTCAACACTATTTTAAAACTTGCCTCTGTTTTGGCAAAATGGGAAAACCCGAAATTGAAGAAGAAATCAATCATAAGCTCTTTTTATTTAATTACTGTCACTAACATCCTACGTAGCTCAGATGCGTTTGGTTACCAGAATCTCAAAGCTCAAATGTTCAATGATTTGTAAGAATTCTAAGTTTTTGCGGGATGAACTGCAGGAATTGGAGAGTATTGTAGATCCTGTACATCGTGAAACTAAAAATCTGACAGATCGTATGACACCAAGGGCCCTATTTACCAAGAAGCACAAGGAAATGGTGAAAGAGGGCGAAAAGTCAATGAAAGAAACAGCAAGGAGGAAACCGAAGGCGCCGAAAGCATGTGCAGCTCCATTTCCCTCCTCTTTTTCGGCCGCACATCTTGACTCCTCCAACACAAACAACCTGTAAAATTGGCTGTAAATGAAACAAGATGATTCACACTTGTATTTCAATTGAATTTGAGCAACATGCGCAACATTTGTATATTTCTTTACTGTTTGACACTAAAAAAAAATTATTTTTGATGCGCACATCTTCGTTTTTTATACAACGTGCCAACAATAATCTGAGTCCATTACTAAACAATTGATGGTATAATAATAATAATATATAGATGCTTTATAAATGTTTTGTTCCTAAACTGATAGTTTAGTACCTCTTAATGAGGCAACACTCGTTGAACCTAATATACATTTTCGTGAGATAACAGGTGTTGAACTTAATACCTTACTGAGATAATACTTGGGGTCGGTCTTTTTTAATTGCCAAGTCTTTTTCCAAGTCTTTTGCCAAAGTCTTTTTTAATTGGTGATTTGTTAGCTTCTTTTTGGTCTTCGCTGATTTGTTATCTATAAATCAGAAGTGAAGTGAGTTTGCCTATATCCATGTGCACATGGTGGGAATTTACAAGCTCGCTTCTAGCTCCGCAGATTGAACATGGCAGCTACGGTTTCCCCGATTGCTAATCTTAAACTTCTTAACCGTCGTAACTATGAATATTGGAGTCTCCGGGTGAAAGTGTACCTGTTAGCTGAAGATGTTTGGGACCTTGTGGAAGCAACCACTGAACCACCGAAACCAGAAGATGGTGAGGTTGCGTTTAAGGCTTGGAGGAAGAATAATGCCAAGGCTTTACTTGCAATCCAGACGTGTTGCGGTGATGATACTTATCCTATAATCGAGGGCATTACCGAAGCCAAAGCTGCCTGGGATGCTTTGGCTGAAGAGCTAAAGCCTTCTGATTCTAATAAAGAGTTAAAGCCTTCTGATTCTGAAGAGCTAAAGCCTTCTGATTCTGATGAAGAGCTAATGCCTTCTGATTCTGAAGAAGGTATACTCATACTGGACTTCATATTTTCTTTTTCATGCATGGTGTCAAGGTTGAAAGATTTAATTTTTTTAATTTTATATTTATTTTATATAAATATATTTATATGTTACCCTCCTACGTATAAAAATAAAATCATGGCTCCGCAGCTGATGATTGTTTTGGGTCTCATCCTCAAAATTTCATAATGCCCGTTTAACTCTCCAGCAGCAATTAATTTTATGGACTCCTTAATTACTGCATGTCTATTGCTGGTTTTATTTCTATGGTGGGTTTTTTCAGTTTTGAATTTTGAGGTTTGTTTGTTGGATTCTTTTCTTCTTTTATTTTCTGTTGCCTTCTGTTCTTCTCTTATTTTTGTTTACTAGTTTTCATTCTCTAGTCAACCGTGCTCACAAAATAAGTATAATAATATATAATATTGCACAATATTTGTTTAATTTTAATTTTTTGGGTGTAGCATTCTTTTTCTTTTTAGTTTGAGAATATATATCCGGGTATTAAAGGGAGGTGATTTCCCCACTCTCTTTTTCTCCAGCCTTCTGATTCTGAAGAAGGTATACTCATACTGGACTTCATATTTTCTTTTTCATGCATGGTGTCAAGGTTGAAAGATTTAATTTTTTTAATTTTATATTTATTTTATATAAATATATTTATATGTTACCCTCCTACGTATAAAAATAAAATCATGGCTCC